CGATTGAAACCATTTTTCATCTAGTTTAGCCGTCAACTCATGGACCTTATCGTCCCGTTTGCACGTTTTATTAGGTATTGAAAGACCAGTTTGCTTAAGTCAGACGCCAACTCAATGCAATCCTGTTCTTTCCGCTCAACTGGTTTTGCCTCCGTGTAGTCGCCCAAGGACAGCGGCCAAACGAATTCTCGTTTTGCGCCATCGACCGGTTACCACTATTGCTGGATCGCAATCGTCTATTCAGAAGTAATAATTAGCCCCATCGTATCCACACCTCTCGTATACGCAAACTGAAATCTAGCACTTCACAGAATTCTCACTATTTCCTCTTACTGGGCTGTGCATCATTTTGTATATTCAACGTTACTAGCTTTTTAATTTTGTGCACATTTTCTGCAACTTCAATTATTGCACGAGTTTCTTTACACAATATAGTACTCTTCCAAAAGTGAGTTCTGATAACATTCGTCACTTTTAGCTATAGTTTTTAAGAGTGAAGAGGAATGGGAATTGACCACACCAGGCAGTAGCAACGGTTTTGTTGATGTTACCAAAATCGAGGGGATTCGAACTTTCATTTCCCTCGCTAGAACTTGCTGCATTTTGTCCCTCCAACAAGTGAGTAAGCTCTTTACCTAATCTATTGTTTGGGCGCCTTTGGGGAGTAGTTGTGAACTGGATATTTACGGGAAGGGTGTGTCACTCACCGACTTCATGAAGCGTTGTTGGTCGTGCTGGCATCAAAGAAAGCAAGAGTAAATGCGTTTGAGAAATATTATACCTCTCTAAAAGCTTTGTTTTGGGGGTTGGCTTTGTTAGAGTTGTGATTAAGCTATCGTAGCCAGAGTGGAGTGCGCACTAGTTCAAAGCTAGGCATACAAGTTTGAAATTCGGATGCTAATGCTCGTTTAGGTCAAGAATCATAACATTGGGTTTAATTGGTGACAATGGTTCGCTTTTACACTAGAGAGTGGAAGCTGAGACCCATAGAGAAATGCTGGGTAAAAATAGGTACATATTTAATTATTATAAATGAAGGGGTCCCCTTTTAGAAATATGACCAAGTGCTTGTAAAAAAGTTTCAGTCACACAAAACAGATGTGTAGAGGGGCA